CATTATCTGTAAATCCTTCCATTTTGATAGACATCAAATAAGAAAAACTAAAAGTAACTAGATGCTTGGATATCAGCTTCCTAAAAAAGTGTATCTTCTACTGCAGGCCTATTGCTAGGGGTACAGTCAATTCTTGATTATTTTAATCCAGTTTCAAGTACTCAGATGATATGAAACTGGGTTTTACTCCCTGTGAGGGCCGGACTATTTCTGGTTTACACAGACCCTACAGACATAGCTTGAAGGTCTTAACCCAGAGCAAGAGGAGTCTACCACCCTACCACACCCCAGGTTCTAGCTTTTAATCTGTATCTACCTGGCCCCAAGGGTTTGTCAAAGGTGCTGTTCGGCTTCTTAATGTCTTAGAACTTTCTTAAGATATTCAGTAGAAAAGTGGCTCCAAAGTAGTTTTTTTTGGATTCCCATAGTCTTCTGAATCTTGGCCCTATCACTTTTGAAAAAAGTTTTGTGGACACACAGTAGGTGTATATATGTATAGGCTACATGAGATGCTTTTTTTTTTTTTTTTTTTGAGAAGGAGTTTCGCTCTCGTTACCCAGACTGGAGTGCAATGGCACAATCTTGGCTCACCGCAACCTCCGCCTCCTGGGTTGAAGCAATTCTCCTGCCTCAGCCTCCCAAGTAGCTGGGACTACAGGAGTGCGTACGCCACCATGCCCAGCTAATTTTTTGTATTTTTAGTAAAGACAGGGTTTCACCATGTTGACCAGGACAGTCTCAATCTCTTGACCTCGTGATCCACCTGTCTCGGCCTCCCAAAGTGCTGGGATTATAGGCGTGAGCCACCACACCCAGCTGAGGTGTTTTGATACAGGGATGCAATGTAAAATAAGCACATCATAGAGAATGGAGTACCCGTAACCTCAAACATTCATCCTTTGAGTTACAAACAATCCAATTATCCTCCTTATGTTATTTAAAAATATAACAGTTATTACTGACTAAAGTAGGCCTGGTGTGCTATCAAATAGTAGGTCTTATTCATTCTCGTCACTCTCCACTACCTTATTTTCAATACACTACCTTCAAAAGTATTTTTTAAAATTTCACTTCTTTTTCATCTTTTCTACCTGTGCTTAGTGGAAAGCCATGTCAAAACTGACTTTTCGCCTGTAATTTCAGCACTCTGAGAGGCCGAGGCAGGTGGATCACGAGGTCAAGAGATCGAGACCATCCTGGTCAACATGGTGAAACCCCGTCTCTACTAAAAATACAAAAAATTAGCTGGGCATGGTGGTGTGTGCCTGTAATCCCAGCTACTTAGGAGGCTGAGGCAGGAGAATTGCCTGAACCCAGGAGGCGGAGGTTGCGGTCAGCCGAAATTGCACCATTGCACTCCAGCCTGGGTAACAAAAGTGAAACTCCGTCTCAAAAAAAAAATTTTTTTTTACTTTTATTACTATATTTTTCACTTACAGAAGTTTTATTTGGTTCTTTTTCAAATCTGCCAAATCACTTTTAGGTGTCCAATTTCTTTTATTTATTTAAATATGATAAGTAGTTGACTTAATTCCTGTATTTTTCAGTAACCTTAATTCCAGTATCTAAAATTCTGGAGGAGGTTCTGCTGTCTACTGTTTCTGCTAGTTCTTAAAGTATCTTTACTTTCTGCTATACTTAGTTATCTTTGAGTGTGTACTGCTCAATTTCCTTTAATAATGATTTGTGGAGAATACCTAAGGCCTAGAAATAAAGGTAACTATTTTCAGAGAAGATCTGCATTTGCTTCTGCTGAGAACCTTAAATGTACTATTCATCCACAATCACTTTAAACTAAAATCAGACCACATGGTTTCATGGATAGTCAGGTATTGAGACTTTGAGTACCAAATGTGAACAAAACCCAATTCATAGCTATTACCTCTCAGGGATGTTTTCTTCTTCATTTTCCCTTCCTCTACTGACTGTCACTGCAATTCTTTCCAACAGTCCCCAGGAGGTGGAATTCTTCTGTTTCATTCTTATCCTGAGAATGAATTGCTTTAAGATCCCAGCTTAAAAAAAAAAGTCCCAGCCTTCATTTGTGTGTGTGTGCTTATGTGTGTGTATGTATGTACATGTACGTGTACGTGTGTGTGTGTATTTTTCTTTTGAGACGGGGTATCTCTCTGTCACCCCAGCTGAAGTGCAGTGGCATGATCTTGGTGCAGTGGCATGATCTTGGCTCACTGCAGCCTTGACCTCCTGGGCTCAAGCAATCCTCCAAACTCAGCCTCCTGAGTATCTGGGACTACAGGCACATGCCACCATGCCAGACTAATTTTCGTATTTTTTGAAGAGACAGGGTTTCCTGTGTCGCCCAGACTGGTCTCAAACTCCTGAGCACAAATGATCCACCCATCTTGGCCTCCCCTAAGTGGTAGGATTATAGGCATGAGCCACCACATCCAGCCATGGATATATCTATTTTTTATTCAGTCCGATTAGGAACTTTCAGATCAAGAGTGGGAAAGAAATATTATAGCTTACGACCACTAGAAATGCAAGACTCTTTGCTACATATCTATACGTAAAAACTATGCTGGCTAGGCACTACGGTTCATACCTTTAAGCCTAGCACTTTGGGTGGCTGAGGTGGGCCAATCACCTGAGGTCAGGAATTCAAGACCAGCCTGGCCAACATGGCGAACCCTGTCTCTATGAAAAATACAAAAATTAGCTGGGTGTGGTGGTGCAGGCTCATCATCCCAACTACTCAGGAGTCTGAGGCAGGAGAATTACTTGAGACCAGGAGGCGGAGGCTGCAGTGAGCCAAGATTGCGCCACCACTGCACTCCAGCTTGGGCGACAAGAGCGAAACTCTGCCTTAAAAAAAAAAAAAAAAAAAGAAAGAAAGAAAAGAAACTATACCCATTCCATCCAACATGGCAGTTTCAAACTAAGTCAACACTGAAACTGCTTTCAATTTTTTTTTTTTTTTCTGGTAAAAATGTTGTTCCTTGAGACTGGCCACAGTAAATCCCAGTTATATTTCAGTAATAACTAGAATGAAGAAAACTAGATTGCATCTTATTTATTTCCATGACAAATTAGTCCTTCTTCATTACAAAAGCTTCAGATAACTTCTACTCTAGGACTAATCACATTGAAATGTTTCAGCGTATCTGACTCAATACCCTTGGCTCATCAAGAGGAGATAAAATTTAATTCACTACTGTATTCCAAATACCAAAGTTTGGCACTCCATAGACGCTTACAAAGTAATTTTTTAATAAATGACTAAGTGAACCAGAAAGTTAAGAAACACATTAAATTCTACTGCCTTCAAAATAGAGTCCAATAACAAATACAGATGTTTCAGTTATGATGACTGCATTTTCTTTTTTTAGAAAAAAAAGATAATTCATAAATAAAAAATAAAAATAACCAAATGAAAATCACTAACATACTAAAACTTGAGCACTAAAATTATTAATAAGTAAAATGAAAAAGTGAATCAAAAAGCGTGATTAAAAACACAATGTAAGTCCATTAATATAGACAGAGAGATTTTAATGTAAATAGGAAAAAGCAAATTAAAACCACAATGAGTTAAAATGAAAAATGCACTAAACTGACAACATATAAAAATCACCCACAGAAGTGATGAGGAGAACATGATGCAACAGCAACTTCCATACACAGCAAGTGGATAAATTCTACAACTACTTTGTAAAACAGTTTTCCATTTCCTGATAAAGTTCAATATACATATACCCACCCTATGATTCCGCAATTCTACTCCAAGGTATATATACCTTAAAGAAATTCTTACACATGTGTAGCAGAAGACAATATACAAGAATGTTCAGAGCAGCTTGCTTCATAATAGCAAAAAACTGTAAAAAACCTAAACGCCTATCAACAGCAAAATGGATAAATAAATTTTGGCATATTTATACATAGGAATATTATATGGTAGTGAAAATGAACAAACTACAATTATATATAACATTAATGACCATCATAATGTTAAAAAAAGCAAGTCACAGAAAATTTATAAATGACTGAATCAATTTATATTTTATTTGTACAAAGTCAAAGCCAAAAAAACTAAATCATAAAATATGTATATGTTATACCTATGTGGTATTATTTTAAAATGCTTAATAAAAGATGAGTTATAGTTACTAGGGAGGGGACAGAGGGAAGATATAAGAGGAGGCTCATAGGAGGCTTCAAAAGGTAGTAGTTACCATTTCTAAACATGGCTGATGAATAAACAGGTTGTTTTATTCTTTACATTATATATAAAAATTATAAACATACATTATTTAGACATGTATTTTGCAATAAAGCATGGAAACACCAGGTGATCCAAATTGGTAGGCAAACAATATATATATATATACACACATACATACATACATACATACACACACACACACACACACACACACAGAGAGAGAGAGAGAGAGAGAGAAAGAGAGATAGAGAGAAATAGAGACTAGATTTCCATGAATTATACTACAATTAAAAATTAAGTATTATTTACCTAGCAGAGCATTAATTTCTTCAAGGATATGGATATATGTGTGCCTAGTACATTATAAACATTAATGCTGAAATCATATAACTGAAAGAATGATTTTAAATTTAGTCAATCCTAGACACTACTTGCCAAAGAAATTTAGCACATTGTCCTGATGACATTTTTAATATTAAATATAATATTTAAATAAAATAACAAACTAAGTTCATTTTTCCCATAAGATATTGAGTCAAAGTTTGATTTATTAACATTTTCTTAAACATTTACAGGATAACTTGAGTGTAACTATTCTGGTAGACAGAAGTAAAAGTCCATGTTTCATCAAATACGACACTGCATTTGCCTGTGAAATAAAAATTCTTCCAAAATTTAATAAGCAAAAATAGAGACAATTTACCTCACAATCTCGAAAAGAGAATAAACCATAAGTAGATTTCAGATAACTAACATCAATTGAGTATTTAAATGTTGACTTCTAAACAGCATTAGCGAATGCATGTAATCTTACCTGGGGAGGATAGTTGCTTTCTGAAGACCATCTTGAAGATTGGTCATTGGGTTTATCCACTAAAATGTTTCTGGAATAAAGAAAAGTATTAAAAAATTTATGTAAACATGAACAAGCTAAACAGGAATAATCTACCAGATGCTGAAATTATCACAAAGTTATGTAATGTATGGAACCTGAATAAGAACAGAAAACAAAAGAGTAAGAAAACCACAGAAAGCTTCTAGTATACGTTAAGATTTTAAAATACGACAAAGGTGGCATTTCCAACAACAGAGAAAGATCAAGATTTTCCATAAGACAACTTTTCTTTAAAATAAAAAGTTCTATTAATACTTTACACTAAGTGACAAAATGAACCTTAGAGACATATATGTAAGAATTTAAGGTAAAAATAGCTGGATGCAGTGGCACACACCTGTAACCTCAGCTACCTGGAAAATGACTTAAGGCCAGGAGTTCAAGGCCACAGTGCACTATGATGGATCATGCCTGTGAACAGCAACTCCAGCCTGTGTAACAGAGCAAGACTCTGTCTTTAAAAAAAAAAAAAAGAATTTAAAATAAAATACATAGAAATAAATAAAATCACATATACATATTATAGGTAGCATACATATTATATTGCATGCAATCATATTGCTATGTTATATATTTATTACATATACCACAAACACATCACATAAAACATAATATATGTATATTTTGAACTATTTAAAGTCAATTTTTGGAATAAGACAGACTTTTAAGCATAACATCAAAAGCAGAACTTTGAGTGGAAAAGGAACGGTTATAAGTAACTTTAGAAGATGGTGATTTCACTGGAAACTGTAAGGCTAAAGGTAAGCAGAGCTTTACGTAAACACTGCTTGATTTGGTAAAGTTGTTTTTCAGAAGGAATATGGGTTAATTCTGAAACATGTTACATACATATTGGGTTAAACAAATAAGCAAATGGCTGGCAGATGTGAGAGCCAGTTTTCTCCCTTTTAGAGGGGGACATTACAGTTAAGCAAGGGGACGGAGGGCAGAATGAACCCTGTGGTACTGGATTAGGATCAGAGACATCAGTGCAAACTTGTATTTACCGTAATATAGATATAAATAGATAAAGAAATCATGATAGGGATGTGTGTGCGCAAACAGTATTTTCTAATTCTGTCCACTGAGGGGGACTAGATGCAGTCACATACCGGTACCCAAAAGCACACCCAGTACCCTGATATTTGTTTCTATATACCATTCTCCAATAAAAGAAAACAGGAGTAGTTGGAGAAATGGCTGATTCTAGAGCTGGGTAACTGAATAGAGAAGATAAACCCGGAGCACCTTATACCAGAAAGAAAGAAGTGTTTTTTTAAAAAGGCAAAGGAAGGGGGCAGTATGGATCACGTCAAAGGGTCACAGAGACTGACCAGCCAATGCAAAAAAAATTTAAGCAGTAAAATATTCATGAATCCATATTGATACAAATAACCCCAGTCTAACCAGCAGGAAAACATCAGAGGAAGGTTCAATCAAACACATGATTAGTAATCCTCCAAACTCTCAATATAATAAAAAACAAGAAAAGACTGAGCAACTGTCACAGACCAGAGGAGAGAATGAACATGACAACTAAATGTAATATGGGATCTTGGATCATGGAAATAATATTTGTGGGAAAACTACTGAAATCCAAATACAGTCTGGCATTTAGTTAAGAGTAGTGTACTAATGTTGGTATGTTAGTTGTGACAAATGTATTATGGTAATCCAAGATGTCAGCAACAGGGAAAACTGAGTAAAGAACATATACAGTAACTCTGAGCCATATTTGCAACTTTTCCATAAATCTAAAATTATTCTGCAATAAAAATTATATTTTTCAAAAGTGAGATATATACTGGCAAAGAGAAAGTACTTAATAAATGAATTATAGATTTATTTATACCATCACAAAGAATAGATTATCAAAAATAGATTATGTTTTTTCAAAAAGCAAAGTATATGGAAAACACATATGTTCCACAAAGGCAAAACATTAATATGTAAAACAACTTAAAATCAAATTAACAGGCAAAGAGCCAACTAGAAAAAATAAAGGCAACATAAAATACATTGGGCTAATTAAAATTAGTATAAAGAGCATTTAAATATAATTACTCCATATGAAAATGGCCAAAAAACAAACATCCATAATCAATAATCAAAAATTGGAGATTAAGACAAACACATATTGCTCCTATAAAATTAGGCCCAAACCTGCAAAAATAATCACATTTTACATTTATACAATTGTAAATTTACAATTTACAATTTACAGCAGCTGTTGGCCAGAGCTGGTAAAATGTTACTCTCGTGTTTTGCTGACAGGAATGCAAATTCATGTAACTTTTCGGGGGGAAAATGTAATCTATTGCAAAAACATTTCAAATACGTACATCCTTTAAATAAAAATGATGACAACCATGACTGTTTGAGTCCCAGACACTGTTTTAAGTGCTTTCTATGTATTTGAAGTAAACAAATTAAGAAACTGAAAAATACTGCAGGAAAAGGGCAAAAAAAAAAAAAAGGAAAGAAACTAAAGCCGATGGAAAAATTAATTGCCTAAACGTATACACCTACGTAAGGATTTGAACCCAAGGCAGACAGGAGAACTGCTTGAACCCAGGAGGCAGAGGTGGCATTGAGCCAAGATCATGCCATTGCACTCCAGCACAGGCGACAAGAGGGAGACTCAGCCTTAAAAACAAAAGCCACAAAAGACTGAAGATATGAACTGAGTTTGAAAAGGATTACAGTACAATTAAAAGATAAAGAACTAGAATTTTTAAAAATTACACTGAGATGCATGTTATAAAGCATGAAGGAAAACCTAATACATTATAACTATGATAAACTGGAACCACAAAAATCATAAAGTATAATAAATTTGGGGAGGGGAATATTATATGTCATGAAAGTGATGTATTTCCTTCAACTTTCACGGTTCCTAGGAAAGTTTTTCTGAAGTTGACAAAAAGAAAAAAAAATTAATACTATTTAAAGTTTAAAATTAAGCAAAGATAGAAATAAAAACATATCACATACCTTCTAAATTATTTGAGACAGAATATCAAGAAGGCAACAGGAAGAGACCCTGTCTCTAAAAAAGAAACTCAACAAGAAACCCATATAGCAATAAGCAGAAAAGTAAAGTATAAATAAAGGCACAAAACAGCAAAAACAGAAAATTTTAAATAAAATAATATTAAAACCAAGTGTCAATAAAGCCCTAAAATAACACAGTAATATATCCTTTGGATTTGGGTGAATAGGTAGACACATTACTATCTACATAAAGCCCACATACAATTACAAGATGACTCATGAGAGATAAAAGATATAAAAGCAGATGCAAATTTTGTAAAACTACAGGGAATAAAAAGCAAAAAGTATTAACCATGTGAAAACATCAACTGTATAATAGTTCAAGCCATGATGGTGACATAATTTGTAAATTGTAATGAATCAAATAAAACAAAGACAAAGCAAAAACCACAGTAAACATGAGAAGAAATTGATTTAAAGAATAGGAGATTAATTTCTCATCTTGTGGCAAGAAGTTATTTTAAAAAAATAAAAATAAAAAATAGGAGATTAACAGCTCTCAGCAACTGGAAAATTAGTAACATATATATTATATATGTCAAGTATAATGTAAAGTATTGGTAAGACAGTGGTAAAGAATAATGCTGTTATGAAGAAAAGTAAAGGAGAAGCAGGCTTCAATGACACAAGGAAGCTATCATGTCATAATCTGAAAAGGAGCAGATGGAGCACTAAATGCAAAGTCAAAGGGGCCAAACAGTTACAATATGTTTTGGTCTTGTGAATTTTGACACACCTACTGATAGCCCATTGGAGATATGGCAGTTGGCTATCTGGGGCTGAAATTAAAGGAAAATACCAGTGCTGAATAAAATATACTCTTCAGAGATGTCAATGTATCAATGCTATTTAAAGCCACAACATTTAAGTGAGATGACTTAGGGAATGAAATAGAGCTCAGAAAAAAAGCATAATGATTGATTATGCAATGGGAGTCCATCATTTAGGAGGTCCAAACGAAAATAATCAAGCAAAAGAAACTGAAAAATGCCAAAGATAAAGAAAATAAAATAGAAACTGTGAATACTAAGTGAAGAAAGTATTTTAAGAAGAAAGAAAAGAAAAAGATTTTGCAAAATGCTGCTGATTAGACAAAGACTGGGTGATTCATATTCATAGGTCTAAATGCTATCATACACAAGGCACTTAATAAACATTTGATAAAGATATGAACAAATAAATAACACTAAGAAGAAAAAAAAATAAAGTAGACCCACCAAAGCATAAAGTATATTTAATCCTACTGATTACCTGTAACTTAAGCTCATGCTAAATTGAAATTAAAATTAAATAAAAAAAAAAAAACAGACCAGAAACAGAGTGAGGTTAGCCTAGCGGGGTTGGAAAGATAGGAGCTTGAAGATATTCCTGCTGATCTCCAGTCCCAGCACTAAGCCAACTAAGTATCTCTCCTGAGTCCAGCAGGTTACAGAGGACAGGCTCGAATCTTTAAGAATCTTGACAAAAGTTTGGCCCTTGGAGAAGAACCATGAACTCCTTGAGTACTTCTCTCCCCAAGAGTCAGGCATCAACTGCATAAGCATTGCTGTGACAATCTGCTATCTCCCTATCCCACTAAGAGCTTCAAGAGAGGTAATCTGCCTTGAAGGTGGAAGAACTTGCCCTGTCAGCTGAAGCTGAGAGGTGTCCCTAGTGACCCACAGATACCTAACACGGGAAGTGGTATACCAAAAGCTACAAGACAAGCACTGCTGGACTGCCAACTATTTGAGGTATGCACACTTTTACACAAGGAGTACACAATGTAAAAAGTTTGTATGGAAAAATAAATATACAAAAAGGGGAATAGTGAGAGAAAATCATCTTATTACTTTTAAAATATTTTTTGAAAAAAAGAATTAAAGATTTTAATTAAAAAAAAATTCCTTGGCCAGGTGCGGTGGCTCAAGCCTGTAATCCCAGCACTTAGGAAGG